TCTCTCTTAACATGTTTTCTATATTTCACTGATCTCCATTTATTTCTAACTTCCGTTTTTATTCCCTAACCATCGATAAAATAGTTCCCATGTCATATAATATTCAGTTCTTTGTCCTTAATAGCAAGCATTAATTTATTCATTTCTGCACATCCTAATATTTTCCTAATCACGTTCTCATCAATAGGGATCTCTTCACTTTTCCAGGTTTGTGCAAATACAATTCTAGCTGCAGTTAATACATGTATAATTAAATATGCATTCCCTTTACTGTAAGTTTCAGGTAAAATCCCCAACAAAAATATTTCTGGTTTTAAATCAATGTGCTGCTTTATCATCTTTTCCAGCCAAGGGAGTTTTATTGTAAGCCGCCCTGAGTCGCTTTGGATAGTGGAATGAGCAGCATATACATTTAACAACAATCATTGAGATACTGAGATCAGTGTCACCAGGTGACGACAATGCTATACAGGTAGTCCTCGACTTACAACAGTTCATTTAGTGACCGTTCAAAGTTACACATAAGTGACTTATGACCAGGTTTCATACTTGCAACCATTGTGGCATCTCCATGGTCATATGACCAAAATACAGATATTTGGCATCTGACTCATATTTATGACGGTTGGTTGGAGTGTCTCCAGTCACGAGATCCCCTTTTTGTGACCTTCTGACAAGCCAAGTCAATGAGGAAATCAGATTCACTTAACCACCAACTGTAGTGATTCACTTAACAATGGTGGCAAGAAAAGTTGTAAAACGGGGCAAAACTCACTTTTTGAATGCAAAAAAAAAAAAAAACCCTCACAAATTTCAACATAAATTTTGGGCTCAATTGTGGTTGTTAAGTTCAGGACTACCTATACTGCATTGGTAGTTTGTCGCAAAACTGGATGGATTTCACACCTCGCTGTGCAATACAGATGTCATAAACTACGAACAAATTGCAGTCATGTCAAAACTTCCCATAATTTCACAGAATAAAATAGAATAACAGGGAAGGGACCTTGGAGGTCTTCTAGTCCAACCCACTGCTTAGGCATTTCCCCCCCCCCAGCCAGGCGGGCACCAAGTTGGGGAACAGTGATGGAATCCTGTCTGTTAGCACAAAAGAGTTTTTTGTTATAGCTGATATGCAGGAGAACAGGATAAAAGCTAAAACATTATCAAGTCTGCTTGGGGGCGGAACCAGACCCCTTGCTGCAGTCCCTGACTTTTAGAAACAAATCACATAACTGTGACTCATTTTACAACGTGGTTTTGTACCCACTATACAGCCTAAAAGGTAGTCAAGTACCGTATACCAAAACACTAGTTTTCACATTCACAGGATGCCAAAATGTGATTTATTTATTTATTTTGACATACCTGGTTAGGCTAACCCAATCAACTGGAGATTGATGTATGGTTTATTTACTGATCAATTGAATAAATCCAATTCAATTGAGTGAGTAAAACAGCTGGGACACACACAAAAGGAAGCAACTAATCAAGAAACCCAAGTCAAGGGAGCATTTTCCCTAGAAAGAAATCCTAAAGCTTTTTTTAGTTTTAAAAGGTAGTTTAAAAAGAGTTTTAGGCAGAGGTTTCTCCTCCGAACTTGCTGCTTGGCTCCTGGAGGTTTCTTCGTTACCAAACTAGGTAACATCTTCAGCAGGATTTGGGATCAAGTGTCTTGTTCCTTTATATCCTGGGTATTTGTATCCTGGGTGGTTGGTTAGCCTTGTGATTCAACAAGTTACAAGATCAACCAACTTACCCAGGACCTATATAAATGAGGGGTCCTTGGGGCTCTCTGAGCTTGCTTGTTTCCTTGCAAACATTTCATTATCCAAACTAGGTAATATCTAGTTTGGGTAATGAAAGATCTGCCAAGAAAACAACCAAGCTCAGAGAGCACCAAGGACTCATGTTAACCCTGAGTTACAAATATTCTCCTTTATATGGTACCTGTATAAACAAACAAGACACTTCATCCAAAACCCCACAGAAGATGTTACCTGGTTTGGTAAGGAGAAACATCTGGGAGTCAAGCAGGAAATCACCTCTGCCTAAATCTACAACCTGAGCTATGAACATTCTCTACAATTTCTAATGGTAGTTAGTCTTCAGTTCCATTGGAAACCTAGAGCTCTGCCCAATAGGGGTGAGAAGAAGAAAAAAAACTTTCTCTAAATTCTCCAGGAATTCATAAGAAAAATATTTTCTCTTGCATCTTCAGAAGTTTATAAGCTCTGCCAATCAAGTCCGACTTCTTGACCCTGTAATCTATTTTATTAGTGGACAATTTCTAATAGCAGCTGTTTGGGATTAGGTGACTTTAAACAAATTGGGAGGGGCAATGATTTTATGGACCTTCATTAACATGTTTATATGCTGCTTCCCATTAAAAAAAAAATCTCAAAACTGTTTGTAACATTGAACACATCCTGGCACTAATTAATCACCCTTAATCCTCCCAATTCCATCAGGGCAGTCTGAATACTAGTTCTTAAATGGGGAAAAAAGGGGGAAGCTGTTGGTTTTACATCCTTCCCAACAACTAAGTAAGGCAAAGGGTACTTGAGTTGATGGAGTAATCTGACACAGCTTTGCTATGTAATTACTTTTAAAAGAAAGAGGGCTATTTAGAGCTTTATCTCCAAAAGTTCAAGGGTGTAAAGAAACAGCTCAGACCCTGTTTTTTGAGGAGGAAACTAAAACCACCTTTTCTCAACTTGATCTTCCATAATCTCAACTCTCATAATTTCTGCCTGCTTCTAATTTGTGACACCTTCAAGTAATTATTCACGATAGCCTGAGCTTTCATGAACTACAGTTTCCAGTGTATAAAATATGAAGCGGGATCAATTTTTTTTTTCAATTTCATTTTTCCAAATTCCACAGCATCCACTTTCCCATTATATAGGGCCTGGTGGCTCAGCAGACTGATAGCATTGTGATTAACACCAGCTGCCTGCAATTACTGCAGGTTCGAATCTCCCCAGGCACAAGGTTGACTCAGCCTTCCATCCTTTCTAAGGTAGGTAAATTGAGGACCCAGTTTGTGGGGGCAATAAACTGACTTTGTATAAATATACAAAAGTATGAAGGCTATTGCTCAACGCATTGTAAGCCGCCCTGAGTCTCCAGAGAAGGGCGGCATATAAATCAATTTTTTTAAAAAAATATGTGTATTTCTAACATATATACTGAACAGGTGGATGTGGGATTGAAAAAAAAAAAACAAAATGCAGAAAGTAGAGATTTACAGAAGACGCATCCTAAAAAACATCTCAGAGTTATCACTTCCAAACACAGATACCATGGTCAGCTTGGTTAGCATTCAACTCAGTTAAGAGATTTGTAATTTAGCATGTTAGGTGTAACCACTAAAACTTACAACTAAGATTCAGTGTTTTGGACAAAACCCAAACTGTGGATAATTAATTAAGAAACCAGGTTACCAGTTGTGTGAAGATAGTCGCTGAGCTACAAACTATAGTCTCAGTTCACACAAAATAGAATAAGCTAAGACAGAGTTAGCTAGTTTGTGATTCAATCTTGCAAACCCAACCACACATTTATGTTTCAATATAAGCTTAGAAATTCTCATTCAAACATGACAAAAAAAGCACCATCAGGGAAAAACATTGCTTTCTTTATGGTTACAATCATGAAATGGTGGCAGGATATGATACTATTTTCCAAGCGTTAGATGCTGAGCTGGGATTCTAAAACCCTAGTTGCAAATCTTCCAGAGACTTAATGGACTCCACCTTTAACAGAGTTTTTACCAGCTTGGAAATCTTATCTGTAATATTTATCAAGGAGTCCCAACAGACTCCTTGTCTGATCATGATTTATCCCATTTTGTCCTACCCAGCAACAATAATGCATAGCCACAAGCTAACCACTCCATAATAAATGTGAAGTGTCCCAGAGCCAAAGGTGGTTTTTCCAAAAGGCAACTGGACTTTCTGGGGTTTTTTTTAGCTCAGTGATGGTAACCTAATTTCTTAATTTTGCATTTTGCTTTTCATCTAAGAAGCTTTTTTGGATGAGAAGCGAAAGGTTTTCAAAAAAAAAAAACCCAAGAAAGTCCAGTTGCCTCTTGGAAAACTCATCTTTGGGACAACCATGACCTGAATGACTGAGAATCTCCATGGACGTGAAGTCCCTAAGCACTTCATACAATTCCTCAATCCTTCCTTTGCTCCCAACATTTGCCTAACAGTCTCCAAAGCCTCAAGCAGATACAAATGCTAAAAACCTTTTTCTTAAAATCTAAAATGCTAAAATGCTCTGCTAAAACAGACACCCAACCCTAACAGATCAAACCCAGGATTGTTATGTGAATGCAAAAAAGGAGACTCTTCCTCTGGATTGCAACACCACAGCTGAATGCAATGAAAAAGAAGAGGGGGAAAAAAAAGAACCGCTAGGAATGCCTTCCCATCCCGAGTAGGAACCAGCAGTTTTAAAAGCAACCTTTAGCATCCTGTACGAAAAATGAGCAACTCAAAAAAAAAAAAAAAACCCCACAAAAAAACTGGCAAGGACACAATTATTCTTTATTGGCCTTGTGTGATTGGACAAGGAATTTGTCTCCTGGTGCATAAACTCTCACTGTCCATAGGAGCATCAAAGTGATGGGTTGCATATCGTAGAGCATAATTAGTCATGAATAAGATACAACAAGGTGATATCAGTATCACAGATACCAACAGGAGAAAGTAGTAGGAAAGATGAGAAAAACGAGAAGAGGAGAAGGATAATATCAATGAACCCTACTCTACTAGGGTTCCCAATCGTGCCCTTGCCATGGACGTGAAGTCCCTAAGCACTTCATAATACAATTCCTCAATCCTTCATTTGCTTGCCAATTTTTTTTTTTAATTTTGAAAGAGTTGCTCATTTCTTAATCTTATTCAACTCTACTTTTGAGGAGCGTCTTGCAAAACCCCAGGTTTTGGCCCCAATCGTCCTCACCACCACCACCACCACTCCTCCATTCCTACCTCTTCTCCGCTGCCTTCTTCATCTTTCGCTTCCTCCTGCTCGCTGGGGATACTAGCATCGCTCCGGGGGCTCGTCTCCCCACTGCCCACCTCTTCGGGCTGGCTGGCGGGGCTGCTGGAAAGCTGGGAATCCGGACTGGGCGAAGCGGCCTCCTCCTCGTTGTTGTTGTTGTTGTTGCAAGAAGCCGGACGGGCTGGGGCTGGGGCCTGGACCGGGGCCGGGAGCGGCACCGAAGGGACCAAACACCCACCGGTCCAGGGATGCCCACCGTAATAGGGGCCCGCTTGGTCGAAGTCGCGCTCGACTTTGATCTCGGCCTTGGAAGCCTGGCAGGCTTCTCCGGGCTGAGCGAGGGCGTAAGAGTTTACCACGAACCCGGGAGGGTGGGCCCAGCCATCCGCCGGGGCAGCAAAGGGGTACCAAGGGCGAGGCACTTCGCCCCCGCCGGGATAGGGCTCCCCGAGCCCTCCCTGGGGACCGTAATCGGGCTTGAAGCCGAAGGCCTGCCCGGCCGTCGCCCCGCTGAAGGATTCGGGCAAGAAGCCGGGCGAGGTGGTGGTTTCGTGCTGGGGAACAGCCGGGAGGTTGGCGAGATGCAGGCTTTGCACCGGGAAAGGGTAGGTGGAGCGGCCCAGCTCTCGTCGCAAGGGCCCAGCCATGGGGGACCGGTTAGAAAAGTGCTCGGAAAGTTAGCCAAAGGTGTCCCGGGTAGAAACGGGGGGAGGCCCTAAATACCTCTCGGTTGGGTTGGGTTGGGTTGAGCAAAAGGAGGAGATGGAGCAAGCAGAGAGGCCTTAAAAGCATCCAAGGTCTCCTTCCTTAGATGGCTTGGTGGGCCAGCTTTTCTTCTTTGGGGAGGCAGCAATGGGGAGACACACACCCCCCCACCCAAAGTTAGGGAGTAAAGAGGCGATGGGGCCGCCGCTGATCTCTCCCACCGCAGCTCAGAAAAGTTGGAGGGAAAGTCCCAAGATGGGGACCCTGTCCGACCCTTGCAGGAGAAGTCAAGTCCAAAGGGAGAAGGCTGAGCGGCCTCTGTCCTTAGCCCAAGAGGGGAGCCAGAGCCGGGGGCGACGTCCAACAAGCTTCCCCAAAGGCCAGGAGCGGAGCAAGGAGCCCCACCGCCCCGCAGAGTGAAGATTGCTTTGGCCCCCAGGCGCACCGACAGCTGGAAGGATGGAAGCCAACCTGGAAGGGACCCGCCCTCCTGTTTAAAGTGGCCCTGACCACACCTCTCCTCCAGGTATTGGCCAAAAGACAAGAAAAGCTCCAGGCCTTCCCACCTTCTAGCCTGTGGATGCCTCCCCGGTGGCCTCTTCAAAGCCCAGTCAAGGGTGGGATCCAGGGAGAAACCCCCCTCCCTCCTCACCCACTGCCATCCTTGCGCAAGAGATCTCCGGCTGCCCTGGAGGGAAACCTAGGATGGAGGGGGGGGGACAGCCCCAAGGATGGCTTCAAAGCCAAGGGAGGAAAGGGGGGGAGGGGTGCAAAGGGGCCACCGAGGGTCTCAATCCTGGGGGAAGATGATGAGGGCGATCCAGCTCTTGGGGTCCTCAAGGGGTTCTGAGTGTTGGGTCAATGATAAGGTTCTACCATGACTCAAGATCTAAAATGGACATTTAACATCAAAAACGTCATCAAAAAAGCACAACAAAGAATGTTCTTTCGGCGCCAACTCAGAAAGCTCAAACTGCCCAAAGAGCTGCTGATACTGTTCTACAGAGGAATTATTGTGTGTGTCATCTGCACCTCTATAACTGTCTGGTTTGGTTCTGCAACCCAACAAGACAGACACAGATTTCAGAGGATAATTAGAACTGCAGAAAAAACAATGGCTACCAACCTGCCTTCCATTGAGGGCCTGTATATTGCACGAGTCAAAAAGAGGGCTGTGAAAATATTTACAGACCCCTCGCATCCTGGACATAAACTGTTTCAACTCCTACCCTCAAAATGCTTCAGAGCACACAAGAACAACTAGACACAAGAACAGTTTTTCCCAAATGCCATCACTCTGCTAAACAAATAATTCCCTCAACACTGTCAAACTGTTCACTAAGGCTGCACTACTATTAATCTTCTCATTGTTCCCATCACCCATCTCCTCCCACTTATGACTGTATGACTGTAACTTTGTTGCTGGTATCCTTAAGATTTATATTGACTGTTTCCTAATACGATTTGATTGCTTATTTGTACCCTATGACTATCATTAAGTGTTGTACCTTATGATTTTTGATGAATGCATCTTTTCTTTTATGTACACTGAGAGCGTATGCACCAAAGACAAATTCCTTGTGTGTCCAATCACACTTGGCCAATAAAGAATTCTATTCTATTCTATAAAGAAAAGTGACTTTGCTTTGGAGCTGTGAGCTTCCAGACATGTCTGTGGGATGCCACCTTCCACACTTGTGCAGCACTGCAAAGGCTGGTCTCTTTCTTTCCAACGACTAAAGGTATATAAATGCACAAATGAGGCATTTCCAATTTTTCAGAGGGGAAGGGGCTGCTTCTGTTGGATAGCTGCCTGTTATGTTGCAGTGCAAAAGAGAAAGAGAACTTTAAGAGCAAGGAAAAGGTAGGGCGGGGCAACCTTAGCTCATAGCTTTGAAAGCGGTAAGAAACAAGGTGCTGGTTTTATTTGGAAGGAGTGTCCTTTTATTTATTTATTTTACAGAACTTCCAGTCTGTGGCCATCTGTATCATACCTAGGCAGCTCACAAGGAATAAAAACACTCCCTCTACGAATTTACTTACATTTACGTCTTCATTTTCCCACTGAGACCAAGGCAATGTAGTAGAGTGTATTTTAGTCTCTCAACTATTTCAGGGAGGCAGGTTAAGGAATGGTAGTTGGTCCAAAATGTCACAGCTGTGGCTATTTAGATCTGATTTGCCTAGGCCATGTTAATAGTTGCAGAGATTGGGGTTCCCTGATATATATATTGAGATCATTTATAAACCTTGATTATAAATCTCTCAAACTGGAGATTATACAGATTAAGATACCTAAACTATTAATTACACTTTACTCAGTTCTGGTGGCTTTACTGCCTCCCTTTAAGCAGCTTTCTTTTCTCCCCTCTCTATAATATTGTTAATTTACTTATAGATAAAAGTTCCTGCCACTAGTAGTTTCCGACCTTAAGGGGCGGTGCTCATCTGTTTCATTTACTCATATAGCCCAATCCAAAAATATTCAAAATTAAAACCTATTTAGGTCAATGGAACTAGAAAGTGTTAGAAAGAACTCTCACTAGTATCTAACTGTGTTTAGGAGTGGGACATTTCAGCTGCAATCTTATGCAGATCTGCAGCTTTTTTTTGCAATGCAATTCACTGGTGTGTAACCTTAGCTATTTACAAGGTAATTCTAAAGTTGGAGTTTAGCATAATTCTAAGTTGTTTATTCAAAAGTAAGCACTACAGCCTTCTATGGAGCTTTGCCATCCAGGCAACTTTAATAAAGCCACAGCCTTAAAATTAAGTTGTATATATATATTTTCTCAGATGTAAGCCCTGCTGAGTTTCATCCTTCTTACTCCCAAGTGAAAATGAATAAAATTGCAGCTTTGTTGTTTGGGAGCTTACCACTTTGCATTCCATAATGTTTGTATCACAGAAGAAAACCCCAAAGAGACTAATAATAAATATGGTGCTAGCTTATAAAATAATGAAAGTATGCAACAAAATAACAAATGCTAGAGAGACTTTTTCTTCAACTTTTAAACAGAAAGTTCATACACTTGAATCAATAGATAGGGTCTCATCTGTATAAGCATTGCCATCCCAAAGCTGGATCTTAATGTGTGGTTACTGGAAGGAATGTATAGCTTGAATACAGTAGTGTGCACTTTCAATAGGATTTGTGGGATCTCTTCCCAATCCATCACTTTTTTTTAATTCATATTTATAAACCTTCGAATTAAGTTTGTTGTGAAAAGGGACCAGGAAGAAATTTTCTGAGCAATTGGGTCCAAATTGTTGCAACTGGCTTCTTTCCCCCATTCCTTGACTCCTCTTATGTCATTTATACCTGCAGTATTAATTTATATTTTTATTTGCACAAATAAGGGAAACACGTTCTGGGTGAGCTTAGAAATCTATCCTAAACTTCAACTTCGGTTCTTCTGTTCTTGCAACTCGGAGCAGCTGTGACCAATTTCACCTGAGACACTCAACCCTTTTAATCATCTTACTTACTTTCCTGGAAGTAAATTACTGAATTCAAGTGGGTTTACTTTGGAGTAAGCACATATCGCATTATTTGTATCCTTGGGACGTGTTGGAGGGCAGCAACTATAATGATGAGAATGTTACTGAGATTGAGAATTGCAACCTGCTTTCGGAGTGTGATATGGGAGAATGCTTTTAAGGGATTTGTTTGGAAATTAGACCAGGAATTCTAGTATGACAGATTGAAAAATGGTCTCTCAGCCTAGTTTCCCACTTTATACATAATCTGGTAAATATTGCCTCACATCATTTTAAATTATTCTTTCCTTCACAAGCAGTCAAGAAATACACCACAAAGTAAGAGAGAAGGAAATCAGAAGCTGCTTCTTGTTTCTTTTTTTTCTCTGCCCTTTTTGTTTTTTTCTGTTTTCTTTATTCTGTCTTGGTGTTAGTTTTTCTCTTTTAAAACTTTTAATAAAATTAATATTCTGCTTAGCCTCAGGAAGGGCATCTGGCCAGTAAATGCTCAGTTTTATCCAGTCGCCCTGACTCTATACCAAATTAAGGGATCCTTACAGAGTCGTAAATAGGAGTTTTATGTATATGGGGGGGGAGGATCTTTAAGACACCAAATTGATTCCGTGATATATCAATAAATATATTAACTTGTAGACTCAGCCCAAAATAGTTAACTTTAGGAGAAGTGAAGAAATGCTTAATCTGCATTTACGGAAGCCCCGTTTTCTCTTTCCAGGCATCTCTGAGGAGTGCATAATGTGATTTACTTTCACATTTTCCCATACAATAGCTCGTGAGGTAAATGTGGTTGAGGAAGAACAAAAGTTAAACTCAAAGGTAAAGCAGAATAGGTTTTTTTTTCGTCTGCTTTATACATTTCATTAGACTTTTTTTTAAGAATGGTTTTTAAGATCCTTTTTAAAAAAGTTTTTAAATTTTATATTCTTTCATACCCCATAAACCATTTGAGTGATGTGTATGTATGTACTTCAAAGGAGAAATGTACGGGAGGAGGAGGGACATACTTTTTATGTAAATAAATAGAAAAGAAGCTTAGGGAA